AGAGAAGTGGTATGAAATAGGAAACAAGAATTGTCCGATGATGATGTGGTAAGGCCATTGAGTGTCACATATAAAGTATATAAATACATATGCCATTTAGCATAAGATGAAACCACATCATAGAATTGTAATAAGTGGTTAAGTCGTGCATACATGTATGATTTATTTTAATCTGAAAGTGAATTGTCGGAGTATGACCCGAATCTCTATTAGGATTAGGATTATGTTGGTAAATTGATAATAGGAACAAAAGTCTTCTTAGTTTGGAAGTTGAATGAAAAAGGGGTCGAAATTCATCAAGGATTGAAAGTTTGATTGGTAAAAGGACTTTGGAAATTGAAAACTTGGTTTTGGAGTTTTGAACAGCAAACTAGAGCCCAAGCACTTGGTTCAGGGCACCTAGGCGCTCATAACGAAAGAAATGGTGGAAATTTACTTGAGACATCTTTCTATTTATGTAGAGGGGTGATTGGAGTATTTTTTGCAATCAAGTATATCGAATTTTTGAGCATCAAATGTAGTAAATAACTAATCAACCAAACTCACATATCCAACTAGAAGTTGAAGTTAGCGTTCAATTTGTATGAATATAATGTGACGTATAGTATATTGTATATGGAGATTTTTGTAAATACTACAAATTTAATTGTTAATCATGTTCTAATTTAATTCTTTTTCTTTATAAATATTAAATATTTAAATATAAAAAAAACACATTACTATATTTAAACATAAATTATACTTTTGGAACTGTTACAAAGGAGAACCTAACTAGTACAAAATTGACGAATATGCCTTATTGCGCCGCACCTTCCGTATTTACATGGTCAAGAAAACTCTCAAATGGATGGTATTCTAGTCATACGTCTACGTCCAAGAGTGCACAATCCAACTTCGAATGGTAAAAAATTATTAAATAGAAAAATTTAGCCAGAAACCTTCCATTCGACTTCATTTGGCAACGAAAATATAGTTGCGACATATGCTGCTCCCTAAAAATCAGCTGTGTAATATAAGTGCATAATGAGTATGGTAGAAAGATTTTATACATAGCAACTACGACTAGATGCTGACATGAAAAACTCCTCCATTGAAACTTTTTACACATTCAAGTGTTATCATTCAAGTCCACGATATATCCTATGTTGGGCCCACTTTTCACGGAGAAGCAAAATTGGTTCTACATATACATTTTTGCCATCTTGAGAGTCTTAGAGAGTTTGTCTTCCATTACTGAGGTTAGCTAGCTTGTACACATATATAATTCATCATGTTTATTATGAAATCATTCTTGCAGTTTACTACGAATGTGCTCGACCATTGCGAGAGCTGATAACTCTTGATCCTTCTTGAATAATGAATATGTCATCATAGTATATCAAATTCCTATAAAATGTGATAGTGCCCAATGTTCAATCGACAGTTTCGTTGTTAAATGCCCCCATGCATCATGTGATTTACTATTTATTTCGCCTATATACTTATTAATCTCTTCAAAACTGTATGCCTTTATAGCTCTTTTAAACAACAACGCAATCCCAGTATCCCGATACTTCGTCTTTTGGTTGCCTTGTATGTGATGTATACAGTAACCATGATAGCATTCTCCTGGTTAGTTACAAAGGTAAGGTTCTCGACGTCCTTAATTAGTTCGACTATGTCTAATACAAAAGGATAAATATGAATGTTTACATCTTGATATGTAGCAAATAATCAACTTACCTTCGTATCTAGCTTTCAAGAATTTACCATTGACTAGAATTAAGGGTTACATTGAATTAAGAAACCCTCAAATGCATTGTTCAAGAGCTATGAATAAACTTGAAGAAAGTCGAGCCATGATTAGTTCTCCTCATATTATAACAATATTTGGTCAATTTAGAAAAACTCTCCTCGATTTAACCCATTAAATCCTACATCGTACATTTTTTAGCCTTTCAAGCCTTCGATAGCTCATGAGCACCTTGAACTCTCAATGGACATCATTAGTGATGTCACTAGGTCTATAAATTGCTATTGGATCTTAAAACTAGTGCGTTATATGTCTGCCAATAAACCATGATCTCAATTGTCTATGATCATTGCAACGACTACCCACTTGACTAGTATGCTTGTAAACTACAAAAAATTAATTTTGTTAACTTCGTTACTCACAAATGCCAATTGCAATTTTTGCTACACAAATAGTTGTCTAGGTAATTCTTCACTTTGAACTTGAAGTTGTGTTTCAATACAAGATCTCTATTGGTGTTAACCAGTTGATCGACCTGCAAATCTTCATCATCAGGAACAGTAAGATCATGGTATCTATAATAACTAGATAATCCTCCTAGCTAGCAGGACTGTTGTCTTCAATCTTGATGCCAGCGTTCCTAGCCTTGAATCATTGGATACAACCGATTCTGGGCATCTTTCTAGCATTGTTGGAGAATCTTATTCTAAAAATGTCAATGAAAAAGAAAATTTCACTTTGTATCATACTCATCTCCCAAGTATAATTACCAAGTACAATTATTTCATATGACCATAAATTACAAGTAGTAACCTAACGTATTTCAAACTGAGAAAAGCATGTGAATAATAATTTAGTGAATAATAATTTAGTGAGTGAAAAGCATGTTCATGTTATATAGTTTTGCCATGAAATTCATTTTATTACGCCATTTCTATTAGTACAACATGAACCACAATTCTTCTTTTTTGGGCATAACATCATAATTATTTATTATTCATGAACTTCTTTCATTGATCCGATCA